AAAAAAAAAAAAAAAAAAAGAAAGAATCAAATGCCGTATAGAGAATAATTCTCCTTCATTTTGTCCACTATTAAAATATAATTCAACGACGCTTATTTACATCATTTAATTGTACAGATGAAAAGGTGAACAGTAAAGAATTATCAAATCTCAACAATATTTAAATGCCTTTTTCCAGCAAACATTGATTTCACCAATTAGATACTCGACTTTACAGCTGTAACCCATTCTCAACAATTCATCAACTTTACTGTATACCCATTGACATATGCAGACCAGAAACAACAGCCCGCCTATACTGCCCCGCAACCAGCCACCAAAAAGCAAGACCTGAATGACAAGTAAAGCCAACCTTCCAGCCAGAAAAGCACTAATGTTTAAGAACTGAAGCGCAATTATACAACGATTTCCCATGCATACAACATTAAAAACAAGAAATAGTACTACCGCCTAAGTATGCCGATCAGCTTAGCAAGCACTAGAACCAGACAAAACTCTTCTACCAGAACCTATATTACGACACAGCATACAGCTCAGTTGAATCACAGCTACCTGAAGCAACCAGATCCACCTTGAATGACGCATCATCTCATCGAGGTCTAGACTAAGACAAGAACATACTACAAGATGCCTTCTTCTAGCCACTCTTTATCCTTAAGCAATATTCTTAAGCAATCGAGCAGTACTTCTCAAAATGAAACCCGACAAGACATCGCGCCGCTACCACACCTTTAGTAAATACAATGTAAGAATAAAGACATACGTAACTTGATCTCCTCACCAGTCTTAACATAAGCCTAACAAGCGGTAAAAAAGAAATCATGAAATAGATTCGGAAAAGTTGTAGGCAAATTATTTCCCTTCAATTAAGCTAAAACTTCATTCCCACACACTTTTTCGAGTCCATGCAACATTCAAGGAAAATCTTGTCAGCACATCTAATTTTGATGTTAAAAATATTGTCCTACAGGCCACAACTCCAAAAACTAAGGAGGAGGTATAAACCAGACCCTCCAATTCGGAACCAATCTTTATTTTACAGTATATACTGGATTCTGCAAAAATAATTAAGTTTTCAACTCGATTCTGCGGCATTTTGAAAGAACCACCCGATTTTACTATGACGCAGACCACGGCTGCGGCTCCTGAACCTTTCCACTGCTTCTTTGCTAGCGTGACCTCAGTACTGGTAGTTTTAGGAATCTCCAAATATATCCAACAGCGGAGTGAAAAAAACGACCTTATGCAATCCGGACTTATAAATTGACCAATGCGTTTCAGACTGAAATTATCGCTGAGAGTGAACTGACAATCGTTGTGCGGATTCGAAATCGAATTTCTAATACAATAAAACCGAAAGACAAATAAAATTAACAAATCTTTGGAACTCCAAGTGATGTTTTACAATGGTGCCTTAACTTCATTAACGAATGACGAACCCTTATTCCCCATCATTAAAAGAGGTCGTCTAGAAAAAAAACAGTAACTCAGATGTGGAACCAGAACCACACAGCTCTCTTTTTCCATACTCCACACTTACAATCGGATATATGCCTAGTTCTATATCCTCAAAAAATGTCGCAACAAAAAATCCAAAATGACCACAGTAATTCAGGTGCATTCACCCGGATGCTTCACCTACAACAATATTATCTTCAACTGCAAACTAATCTTCCTGTGAAATAATGAGAAAAACGTGACTTTCGACTACGTATGAAACAAAGTATACAGTTCCCACTCTTTGCAATGAGGATACAAAAATCCATTAATTTTTAGTTTCTTCTTTATACTACAAAACAGGGGTTTTACTTCCCCAGTAGTTAAACTTATTATACCGTGACCACGACTAAAGATGCATGACATTCATCAATAACCGTACGAGAATACCTTAGTTAGTCTTATTTCTAATAATTCTACTTTTAAGACCTTCAAAGATATATGCGTCAATAAAAGTCTCTCCGGTTCTTAGGGGAAAAACCACTGACGGTCTTCCGATGAAGTGCTTGAACCTATCACCCTTAGCTCAATCAAAAAGAATTCCGCCAACGTCACCGGTAAGAAATAACTTCCCCTTCCGTTGACTTTTTTGACAGCAATCCAAACACTGTTCACTGTTCAACTAAAAGTGTAGTCGCCGAATAAACAAATCTTCTACGCTCACTTACGCTACCGATTAACACGCAGATACTTCCTGACAACTATTTGCTTTTAAAGCAAAAATCTGAATGCAACTCAAAATAGTCAGGTTTCGCGCTCTACTGTAACCAGAAGTTATAGGAGTGAAATGGCTCACAAGATATATCAGTGGCAACAACCCAAAAAAACGCGTCCAAACACCGTTCTCAACAACGAAAGAAAAAAGTGGTGTGCCACTTTACATGCTCTTCTACATCCCGTCAAGTAAAAGTAAGTGCTCCTTGTGCTTGTTCTGATGCCAATCCCTCTCCCGTTCAAAAAAAAGAAAGTTGGCTCTGAAACCGCTTTTCCAGCCCGGGTTGCCCGAGCACACCTCACTTGATCGCAAAAACGAGGGACGAAAGATGATTTAATCTTAAAAGTATTCCAGAGGACTTCATTGGAAACCATCACTTAAAATGCTACAGTCTCATTTCACAAATTATCGTCACTGAAGCCCGTGATGTTATTAATGACAGCCATAAACCGCCGCCAACTGTGGTGCTGCTGCCGCTGTCGTCACCGCTTTCTCTACGTATGTTAGTGTGTGTGTGTGTGTGTGTGTGTATATATGTATGTGTGCCTCCATTGCATTCTGCATTTTGGCATTTTGTTACTGACAAGTGTCCCACAGCGAATAACTCACACATTTGTCTACAATTCAAAAATAAAAATAAGAAATAAAGTAAAAAAACAAGAAATTGGCGTGACGAAGAACTTCGTACCATTGAGTGAGAAACACAAGCAACAAGCGACGCAGCACAAATATGCTGCTCGTCCCATTTTGGACAGCACAACCACAAACTTCATTCACACCACATTCGATATTATACAACAAAATCTTCTTCACTCAATCGCCTCCGTTCACTAGCAGCCTGGCACTCTGCCAAATCAATAGTCTTGACTACCGTCACCCGCCATTTCAACTCTCCGACTACACAAAAAATCACAATCAAGACCACCAACACAACTTACTGAGGGCCGTCTGGAACAATACGGCGACAATCACACCCTTTAGTCCCGATGTCTCACCTCTCCACCCTCAATCTACAGCAGAACGGACAAAATCTAGAGACCGTTTTGTAAATAACCTTAAACCTCTGACAAGGAAACTGCATATCCTGTGCTACAGTTGACTATACACCAACCATTGAATGGCCCACCCGACGTGCCTTCAGAACAGATGGGACGAATCCAGTAAGTGCCATCTCACGAACGCTTTACATAGCAAAGGAAACAATGACCAAATGAGGCTTCAGGCCGCTGCCAGTGTCTTGGAGTTGATACCAATTTTCATAATTGCTACAACCAACGGTAACTTGCAAACGCTGAAACGGACCAGAAGGCGTTTCGTCGAAAATTGACCTGGAACAAGGGTCCGAGTCCTGTTTTCACCAAGTGTTGGAACAATTTATCAAAACTGCTTGAGAATAGTAAAGCACGACTAAAATAAAAACTTAACAAACAACTGAGAACAAGGTATCTTCATGGAAAGCATGTCAACAAAATATTCAATTAAGAAAAACAGTACTCATTAGCTCTGCAGGCTAGCAGCTGGTGATTTTGTAAACGACAAAAATATGGACTTCCCATTAAAAAACGTTATTGAAAACGACAAAAATTAACAGAAAGATGGTGTAAAACGGAGTCAATCACGTTTCAGAAAATACACACGTCGAGAACAACACACTTAAATAAGTAATTCAACACGACTCATTCTGCAAGACAAAACCACATGGTATCAATTGTTCTCAATCTAAGACTTGAAAATCCAGGGATAAGAGAAAGGAAAAAACAACAAGTCGCCTCAATAAACTTTTGTAGATCGGATAAAATCATGAAACAGACATTTCGTTATACAGAAAACTTAAATAACAACAAATCAAATACCGCCACTCAATGTAGCCACAAAATAATAGAGGAAAATTGCTAAAACGAATAAAAACCGATGCAAATAGTTTATAAATCCAGGTAACACTCAACTGACGCTTATATTAGCCTACAACCATCCTCATCAATTTTCACCAAATTATTTCAGTTGATGAATAAGACATAAATAAAATGATCCAATTCTCACTCCCACACAAAATAAAATTAAAAAAAGAACAAGTTCAAAAAATCGTAAAACAAAAAGAAATAACAGTGGTGAATTATAAGTAAACAGATAATCTAAAGCTTATTCACCAACTGTAAAATCATAACTCACGCTTTACCTACTTTCAGTCAACATATGCAAAGATGAGTCGAATCAATCCTCGTTTTCTTCACCAGCATCATCAGCTTCTTCTAAATCCTCAACATCCGAACCTCCATCCTCATCCAACCCACCTTCAGCTGCTTCATCAACTTCAGGTACAAGGAAGTATTGCAAAGGATTAGGCCATAAATCGTCCTTGATTAACTGTAAAATCAGATAAATGACCGTGATGTCCAAGCTCAAACAACCAGTAAAGAAGCAGTGATTACTCGTATATTACAAAAACACCCTGGATAATTAGCAAAACCAACTTCAGCAATTTCATCGTTACTTGGATCCTGGTTATCTGACAGCCATCCGAAGAAAAATCTCTGCCCTGACTGTGACGACGGATTCTGGCTCATACGCTTTTTGAACTATAAAAATTCTAATTTAGCTTAATTATTAGAAGTGAGACAATAAAAAACCGCAAAATACATCACTTGCGCCAAATCCACTGCCGCAGCTTTTCACTAAACGAAAAAATTTAAATAAAAAGGTGACCAAAAATCTTGTACTCGCAAATGTTTGCGGCGCCGTGTTACACAAAAAGTTTATGGACTAGGTAAAAAATTACTTCTTATCACTCCTTGAAACATTCGAGAACTGCTTGCAACAACCTAACACAGCATCGCAAAAGTTAAGCGATTGTAGAAAAAGATAATTAACTCATACCTTTCTCGCAAGCTCATTTTCTGTTTTCCACTTAATTTCTGTAGTCGTGCTCGTTGGCTCGGCGTTGCCGAGGAAGAACTCCTTTACCAGCTGAGTGTTTTCAAAAAACGGGTTTTCATCAAATGACAACTTGATTCGGTAACCGGATTTGATGTCATCGAATTCTTCAACCTGCAACTTTTTGACTTTATTTCCAGAAGCGGTAAAACCAAATCTTAGTAATTCTAACTTTTCCTACAGCAAATCGACAACCAGGTAACAAGACGTTTTTGAAAGAAAGACTTATTGAACAAATTTTATCTATCTCAGACTTTCAGCAAATAATAGTAAACCAGAATAAATAAAGCGAAAAAAGATGCTATAAAACATTTGAAAGGTAACGAGTTAATATTGAGTAAGCAATATTTCAGTTAAAATCACCTCCAGTTTTGTAAGATAATGAAGACATTCCTCTTCTTCCTCGTCCAAAATGGCACTTATGTTAGGATGATTAACAAACTAAAAATAAATTTTTTTGAGTTAAGCAGATAGGAAAATCTGCAGAAGTCTGTAAATTTGCAACCAATAACGAAAAAAAAGAGCAATTGTGGTACATCGAGCAAAAAAATTTGAAAGATGCAACACACCGCAGTGACCCAGAAGTTGGGTATGTCGCGCACCAGCTCGTTCCTTTTGTCAAAAAATGGTTTTCTTAGCGAATTGTACTTTTGTTCAACCTAGAAAAATTAAAACATCTGTAATCGTTTTCATCTGTAATAGAAAAGTCTAGACATGTAAATTTAGAAAACTTTAACCTTGAGAATTTCTTCGGATGCCTTCTCATTTAATGAATCGATTTCTCCTTGCACCTGATCAATCTGTTCCAGAACTTTTTGAGTAGCAGCATCATAGTCCTAAAGTAACCGCTTCACAACTGAAGTGACACTAGTGCATGAGCATTAACATTAACAAAGAGACCACAAACTTCATTTCAATTTTTTTTTAGTTCATAAAAAACAACGCATATTTTTATGGTCACCTCAAAGATTAAGCATTTTTTGCACACTGTCATTGACTATTCAATTAAAAATAAAAATAAAAATAAATAAAACAAATTAAAATAAACAAAGTAAATAAGCCAAAAAATTCTTTAATTCAACTATTACTAAGTACCAACAGTGAAAAGAACCTGCTAAAGCATGTTAGACTCATTAATTTGTGATACTGTACATTAAAATACAACATATTATGCACAGAGAAACAAATCAGTAATTTAATTATACCGTTTTGATACCACGTGTATCTTCACCATTTGCGTCTCCAGCATCCATTTTTGTACGTTTAGCAACTGGCTCACCCATAGCTGTTGACGACAAAATGTATGAAGGTCAAATGAGAAACTGATGAAAAAACGGCTTAAACCTGCAATAATGGAGTGAAGCTAACAGAGGTAACCTGCTGGTATTTAATCGGTCAAAAAACTGAACAAAAACAGCAACGCAGTGAAAAAAAAAAAGGAAAAAATACAAATTGGAATAAAAAGATATATTCTGTAGCAAACCAAACGTTAAAGACGACAGATAAAAGGAAAGTTAAGGAGCAAAAACCAATTAAAACACTGAAATCTGCGAAGAGCAACAGTCGAGCAGGGGGGTGGGAGGGGGGGGGAGAGAAAGGGAAAAAAGGAAATAAAAAAGTTCAAAGTAATAACAGAGTTGTATACTGGTTTCTTTTTTTACTATTCTGCAAACCACTGAACACCTATGTATTTTTGCTAATAGCTGCTGAACTCATAAATTAAGTTAAAATATGAGTTAAAATACTAAGTTCATCTAACAACCAATAAAAGCAATAACAACAACAACGATGGCATTAACCAGTCACCAACAACGACATAAAAAACTGGAAGATACCTTTGTCACCCCTCCCCGTATAACCCTTTTCCACCTCCGTGCTTCCTTCTTCCACCTCTCCACTTCCACTTCTACTTCCAACTCCACCACCGCGACGATTTCCATTTTTACTACCGCTATCACCATCCCTCCTTTTCCACAATAATATTAGCAATAGCAACACGACGATTACGGATGTTTGAGCTAATTCAGGCATATTTATAGCTGTGCAGAAAATTAGAGGAAACGGAATGACAAGTCAGAGGAGGAAAGATGGCAGAAGTGGTAATGAAAAGGAACAGATCCAAGTATCAAGGGTAAACAGCGAAAATATACAAGGTGGCTTGAATGAATCTTGATGATATGTCAAGGTTCAAAGGTTATTGTTGGATACCGAAGAATCAACAAAACAACAGCAGTAACAACAACAACAACAAAAGCTGATTAATTAAGTGAGCAAAACAAAAAAAAAAAAAAAAAAAAGCATGAAAAAACTATCTTTTTTTTTTCAACCTTCCTTTTCCCTTCTTCCCTCTTGTATTTATGAGG